CTGCGTCCTTGATTTCAACTGAGATCGGTAGACCGCCGCCAGCTGATGGTCCCCGTAACGGCCTTCTAATGCGTTGAGGATGTCGTCGTAGGCCGCCCCAACAGGAACGCCATGCAGGATGTCAGCAGCTTGCCCCTGAAGTACGGCAAGGAGATGCGTGACCTTCTCGTCAGGCGTCCAGCCATTGTGGTTGGCCACAGCCTGAAACTGCCGATGGAATACTGTCCAAGATGTGGATCCGTCGAACTTGGGCGGTTTCACACGGTCCGTGCCACCCACGAACGTTCCGGCCCCTCCGTGCCGTGTTCGGGCCTCCACCGCCTGCAGCCGTGTCTCGAACTCGTCGCTCAGGACCTCGGTCTTCTGATTCAAAACCGACATCACGCCCTTTAGCTGTCTGTCGAAGTTGTCGGTGATCCTGGCTGCACCTCAGGGCGCTTAGATTGTCTTGTAGCTGTTTCAACTCCTGCAATCCTTCCAGTATTTTCTGCAGTGCAGACTCCATCGTTGACAGGTCACAGGCTTTGATTGTTTTTACAACTTCCAATAGACTTCTTCGCCCAGGGTCTTGCGCCCCTCTGAGGATGGCTTGGGTCCTGAAATACACCTCTTGAATCGTATTGGCTTGTTACAAGATACTGCACCGAAAAAGCCCACTGTGTGTGAGGTTGGGACTGGCATTTAATTCGGCTTTTTTAAAAAAAAAACTTATATTTCCCAGGAAATCACGAAATAATTGTGAATATAATAATGATCGCCCTGATGATGGAGACAGTAAGGACCTCTGAAACGTCAGTAAACTTCTACCAGACTACACAGCGCTGCAACCCAGAAGACAGCCATCTTTAGGACTAATTAACATAAGATATTTATTACTCTGTCTTCATAAAATTTGATTCTGCGAGTGTACACCGACAAGTATAAACTCAATTTGTTATCATCAGGTAATCTGATGTGATGATACTAACTGCACACATTAAAACCATAATTAGAGCCAGCCTTTAATGGATCAAATTAATTATTCAACATTTGAGAACTTCCTATTAATGTAGGTTCTGAACAAGATGTCGGAGATGAACTCCATATTGCCATGTGCAATGCGCATTTCCTTGATGAGTACGTACGTTTCTAGAAACAGGCGGCATACTTCGTCAGTGCCAGTTAATTCCAAAGTTTGTTTCTAGACCAAACACGAAATCACTGAAAGATTCTGTACTATACAAAATTACCCTCTCGTTCGTCATTTCAGTTCGTTAAACCTGGAAGTTACTGTGCATTTTCCATGCTTCCAATTACATATTAAAGCTATAGAGGACGCTTCAAATCAGTTAATTTCACACCTTGAACATTTGTGAGTATCTTATTTGTTCAGTCTACTGTGACACGCTCTGAATTACCAACTCGTCGACTGTTCTGCGGATAGTTTTATTGTGTCTGGTATTATCTTTGGGTATTAAGCCCTTTCGTTTTGAATTCTGGCAGTTCCATAGAGTGATCGCTTGTTTTCCCGCATTTCAGAAGCGCACACTGGAAATATAAACGATGTTATGAAATATTAGCAATGTAGGAAACTGTGTGTAGGTGGAAGGATATTATTAAAGTCGATTTGTGATTTTTACAGCGTTCAGGAAGGTATCGCCTCTATCTTCAACGTGGAAAGTCGATGCGACAATTTCTGTCTGCAAAAATTTAGTAACAACTTACACCACTACACGGCGTCTTGATTCACAAGACCATTATCGATATGTTCTTCATATTTGCGGTCATGAATAGGCTTATCGATTAATTTCGAGTGTCAATCGATCATTGTTGTAAATTTAGGCCTTAATTCGATAGACACCCTGTTTGAATCTCGACTGGGTTGATACATAATTTGATTGAGATATTTCGTAGATTCACTCAGTCTACCAGGACGAATATTAAATAGAATATGAAAGTTTTCCTCGGACTACTCCTTCCAAATCCTTATTTACTGACTAGTCACGATAATATTCCCCATCTCGTTCGACGCTCTATAACCCTACATTATGAGAGTCATTAAATATATAAGGATCAATCAGCGATTTGTTAAGCGTCTCTAAATAACTCCATATGCCGTATATTAAAATAGGCGGACACGCTTTACAGAAGCCCCATGTTTGAGCGTAGCTCCCCCCCCCCCCC